GAGTAGGGGAGCCCTAAACTTCTGGATTTAGAGAATCCGTGAAAATCCTCAAGGATGGACATCTGCTGAATAGAAAGACATTGATAAATCTTTTCTTTTTTTTAAGTCTTTGCAAGTACTGGATCTATTTCATTGCAGCACACAGTGGATCTAGTTATGGACAAGCATCGCAGTGGATTTGAAAGTAGTCCAGTTATGAGAAGCACCTAGATGTTTTTATAAGATACAGGATCATGATCTATGTTCCAGCCTCAGTGAATCATCATTTTTGGGAGTGGTATATTAGCTTGCTTAGGGCTGCCATAACAAAGTACCACAAACTGAGTGGCATAAAAAACAGATGTTTATTATCTCACATTTCCAGAGGCCTGAGGTATAAGATGATGGTGTCAGTAGGCACTGTGAGACAGAAGCTATTCTATACATCTCTCCTGCCTTCAGGGCATTTGCTGGCAGTCTTGGCATTCCTTGGCCTGGAGAAGCAGCACCTCATCTCTGCCTTCGTCTTCATGTGGTGTTGTCCTGTGTGAGGGACTCTATATCCTCATGCCCCTTTTTAACAAGGACATGACTTTTATTGGATTACATTCTACCTGATGACCTTATCTTAACTAATCTTCTAAAGAAGGTTATACCCTGAGGTGTACTGGGGTAAGGACTTCAATGTGAATTTTGTTGGAGGCACAATTCAACCTATAACATAGGAGGTGTGGGAATGAATTCCTGTGTTTTTCAGAAGCACCTGATTAAATCTGATGACTGGTCAGATTTGAGCATCCTAAGTTTAGGAATCGACTTACCTCTGCTCACATTGTGGGGATCCTTACATCCTTTTATCTCAAGTGTATTTAGGAAGCTCATGGAACCAGTGTGAAAGCAATAGAGCTCCAGACAGTATATGTATCTACTAATGTGGATCCCGCTTTTTCTCCTAAGCTGATATCAGTAGACTCATTGATAGGATTCTACTGTTAGGCGAGCAGCCATTCCTGATGGTACCCCAGATTTGTCATTCCTCTCCTTACTCATCTGGACTGATTTATCCTGTAGAGTTAAAAACAAAATCACATTTCCAAGGACACATTCTTGGCTATCTCTGCTTAAACAGGAGTCCAGACATAGTCAAATATTTTAAGTTGTGTAGAATTGCTTAACACCCCTCATATGTTTGTAACCTTTTAATTGAGATATGTATTCATTATAATGTAAAATTTTAACTGCACAGTTTGGTGATTTTTACATATGTGTATATTCATATAAGAACCACTTAGAGCAAGACACAAAATATCCCTGGTATTGTAGCAGATTACCAATGCCCTTTATCAATAATTAACATTCTGTCCACCAAAGGAAGGGAATTCTTTCACTATCTATTAATTAGGTCTGTTCTTGAAATTCCAGTGCTACATACTCTTTTATGCTTGACTTCTTTTATACACCTTCACATCTAGGAGACCATCTATATTTCCGCATGTATCTTTGATTTATTCTTTGTTGTTCTGCATAATATTTCATTGTATGAATATCCCGTGAATTATTTCTTGATTTTCCTTCTACTGAACATTTGAATTTCTTTTCAGATTTCGTTATTTTGAATAAAGCTGCTGTGAACATTTTTATTTTTATCTATTGGTGAACATATGCAGTGCCTTCTCTTGGATATATACCTAAGAGTGAAATCACTGGGTCATGGGGTATGTTTATGTTGAAACCTTAGTGGATACTGCCAAAACATTCGTCAAAGTGTGTATATCAGTTTATACGATCAGCAGCTTATATACAAGTTCCTGTTGCTCTAGGTCTTCCTCACAACTTGGTAATATTGGGGCACAGGTGGTTAGATCGCTTGAGCATCCGCCTCTTGATTTTGGCTCAGGTCATGATCTCAAGATTCATGGGGTTTGGCTCTGCAGTGAGAGCTTGGAGCTTGCTTGGGATCCTCTGTCTCCCTGTCTCTCTGCCCCTTCCCTGCCCATTCTCTCTGTCTCTCTGTCTCTCTCAATAAATAAATAAACTTAAAAAAACTAGGTAATATCCATCTTTTGCAGCTTAGCCATTCTAGGGTGTGTATGATAATTTCATGTGATTTTATTTGTATCTTCCTCATAAGTAAAGGTGTTGAATACCTTTTTATATATGCTTTTTGTTGTTGTTCATTTGTTTGTTTTACCATTTGGATGTCTTCTTTTTTGGATTGCGTGTTCAAGAATTGCCTATTTTTAATTGGGTCATTTGTTCTGTCTTATTAATTTGTACTGATCCTTATTAGGAGCTTTTTGTCATATCTTCCTATTGAAAGCATCTTCTTGGAGTCTGTAGCTTACTTTGTAATCTTTTAATAGTGTTTCAAGGAAGAGTTTTTTAATTTCAGTGAAGGAAAATTTGTAGGTTATTTTCTTCTTTGGTTGATGCTCTTAGTGTCCTGTTCATTACCCTTACCCTCCCTCATAGGCCCAAAGATTTGGGACTAGTATAGGATATAGTAGTCTGTGATATATCTGATATTTTGATGAATACGATAAACTTTTCGTCTTACTCCATACTTATCCTCAAGGTCTCACCTGTTTTTATTCTTTTTCTTAGGAAAATGTAAAACCCAATACATAATCCCAAGTACTAAACTTGGGGATACACATTGTTACCATATATGTTCAAAGAAGTCATAAATAGTTGAAAATTGTTTGTTAAAGAAAGTATGGTTACATCATACAATATTTGTCATTCTGAGAAGTAGCACATAGACACAAACACAGGCAGAGAATTTTCTTATAGTCTTACTCTAAACCTTTGGATTTTTTCATGTTATAAAAAGTTTTTATCATACAAATATAGGACTTAGTTAAAAGTAAAGAGAATAATGTAATGAACTCCCACCTACCCATCAATCAGCTTTTAACATTTATCAGCATTTTTCTAATTTGATTCATTCCTCATACATCATTTTTTCTAGACCATTTTAAAGAAAATCCAAGATATCTTATTATTTTCTATAAATACTTTATGAATCTCTAGCATTATTTTTTTTGTGTGTCTACCATTCCATTATCACATCCAATAAAAATAATGATAATATCTTAAATATCTAATGCACAGTCCACATGCAGATGTCTTATTTGTCTTCAAGTTGCCTTTTTATAGTTGTTTTTTTTCACATTAGAATCCTAACAAATCCTCATGTTTTTAAATGTCTCCTGTCTGAATGGTTAATAACTTATAACCCTCTGACTTCATAAAGTTAATGAACATGAGTACTCTTGGCATTTGAAAATACACGTAATTTTTCCTTTGTTTCTATTCCTCTACTCTCTACTTTGAATAGGCTTATTAAACTCACAGTACATCAAGAAAAAAAAACTTTGAAACAGACCTCCCAGTGAAATTATTTTATTACTATTTGTTAAGTTTTTGTTAGCCAGCTAATTTAGGTGAACTTTACTTATTTCTTTGGCAAATGTATATTCCACAATGTTTCAGATGGCTCTTGAGTACCATTGAACATTTCTGTCAAAATTATGTACATATCCAAACAAATAGCATATATTTGCCCATAGCCTGATCGTTCTTGGTATCAAAGCATTATTAAATTATATGTGACATTCAAACAAGTGCAAATTTATAATGCTGTAATGTTACAGTCAAGATCGAGTGGCATCATAAACCATGAAGTTTCTCTTGTCATATCTCTCTTTATTGAAACAGACTTAATATTTTGTAATGTTTCTTTCTTTCTTTCTTTCTTTTTTTTTTTTTAGAGCAAGAGAGAGTGCACATGCATGTTCATGAGCAGGGGAGGGGCAGAGAGACAGGGAAACAGAAAATTCCAGGCAGGTTCCACACCTAGGGTGGAACCTGACAGAGAGGGCTTGAAATAGGGCTTGATCTCACCATCGTGAGCTTATGATCTGCGACAAAAATCAAGAGTGGGTGCTTCACTGACTGAACCACCCCAGTATTTTGTGTTTTGTTTCCAGTTCTTACATGAGCTAGAATAAATCTCTAGAATGTGTGTTTTTCTTGTGTTTATCCCTTGGTTACTCATATTTGTACATACTGTACATGAAAATAAAATCCATTCTTATGTCTACTTTCCTTTATGTTTTTACTAATTTTTCATTTACTACTAACACTTCAATTATTCTAATAGGATCTCTAATTTTCAATTTCATATACAAGAATAAATATATATTTATTATATTGGCTTTAAATATCTTTATTGGCTTAAAGCTATGACTCTTCCCAAACATACATATTTCCTCTAGAATTCATATATTATATGATCCTTATAATATATTAAGCATTAATGAATATAAGTTTAACCATTAAGTCATATGAAAAGGAGAAAGTATAATTTGATATAGAAGAATTATTTTATGGTAGATTATATGTGAAAAAAAGTTTTCAGATATTTATCCCATTTTATCTCCCTACTCTGGTAAGTAGATAGGCACTTATTTTTACCTTTATTTTGTCAATGAACATTGGCCTCAAAGATTTTGTGCCCAAACTACCATCAGTTACCATGGGACTTGCACTTCTAGCCTGGTTATCATTCCATTTAGCCATTATTATTGATGGGTTTGAGATATTTGCCTTTCAGTAATGCTTAAAATCATGTTCCAGGCTTCTCATAATTCTTGGATAACCAGTTGTGTTTTTTCTTTTTTAATCACTAGAATTTTTTGGCAGTATTTTTAAAACTTTTGGATAACTGTGCTTTTAATATTGTTAATATCAGCTAAACAAATTATAATTGATTCACTTGAAGTAATGAGAGAGAGTTCAAGCATACATTCTGTTATACAGTAAAAGCAGAAAAAGAGTATATAGAGATTCTCTCTATAGTCATTCCATCCATGAAGTTCATTAAATGTGATTTGTCTTTGCTATGTAAGTTAATATGAAATGTTAAGGCCATTTCAACCAAGTGAAGCGGAACAGATTACTGTACTTAATTTCTAACTACATTTCATTTTTGTGGGTATTTTTGTTTTGTTTTCTAGTGGCTTTTCATGGCCTACCACTGAAAATCAAGAAAGAACCCCACAGTCCATGTTCAGAACTCAGCTCTGCCTGCAGTCAAGAACAGCCCTTTAAATTCAGCTATGGAGAAAAGTGCCTGTATAATGTCAGGTAAAGCAGTCAGGTGTACATACAGAGGGTGGTGGTTCTTAGTAAAACACAAAGTCCAGAATAATATAAAGTCTCAAATTATATTTTATATGAGTTCTATTTCACCATGTTACACAGCTAATTAGGTAGTGTGTTCAGCAGGTTCTGAGGAACCGGTACACCATCTGATTACCCACTTTGAGAATCATTTTAAAGCAATAATTTTCATCCATATCGTTAGTTGCTTTTCTACCGTAGTGATGCATCCTGGTTTGAAAAGAGGGTCTTCCTTGGCATGAACAGCTATTGAAAGTTCTCATTAGAACGAATGCATTATGCACTTTAGATAGAGTCTGTAGGAAAAAAAATGAGACATTTGGCAGGTCTGAGCAGTACATTAGTTATCTGACAGGCTTTGCAGATGATCTATAAGATGTGTTCATGGAGAATGGCAATAAAGTTCAAATTTTATAAGGCTCAGCACAGACTATTACCTATTAAAAAGCCAGTTGTTCCTTTTGATGATAGTAAAGGGTGGAGCAGTAAAATTACTTTGCTCATTTGTTAGAAGATTTGATAACATATATGTTCATTAAAAACACTTCACAGTAAATTGCATTGTTACTTTTCATATTTGCCTCTAATTGCATAAGGAAAAGTTGGCCGTGTCTATTGACTATCATTATTCTCAATTACAGTAGATACTTAGTTCTTAAAAGGAGTTCATTTGGAAATGTATAAAAATGATTACAAATATTTGCAGTTATAGAAGTTACATAGATTCAGGTTCATAATACATTAGGATCCAAAGGAGCCTTCTTTATTCTCATATATTCGCAACATGTAATGTTATATCCAAGATATATAAGATTCAAGAAACTCAGATTTGTGCAGTCTCTTGGCAGCTGACCAATGTTGGGATATTCTCTTGCTGTTTGTTCTTGCAAATTTGTCTCTTATATCTGTTTTTCTAGGAGGATCACCAGAGCCTGAAATTATGAGCCAGCTCACTTGAAACTGCAAAGCTTTAAAAAAAAAAAAAAAAGATGTCTCATAGAAGACATTAAAGCTTACTGAGTTCACTTAAAATAATATTGATCAATCTGAGTTTTCTTTATAGTGTTTTTCATTTTTGCATTTTCTCTTTAAGAATACTGCATATTCATAGAGTAATTACTTAGCATAATGAAGAATTTTAAGTTAGTGGGCCAGGTAGATATAGAATTGTCATTCTGTTTCAGCATTGATCAGAGGTGTGGCTATGAAATAATTATTGCTTTGTATGATATATCTGACATTCATAAATTAATAGAAAATGAATTGCCTGAATATTTCCATGTTCTTCTTGGGGACCAATAATTTCCACAGTGATATATAGATTAAATTTTTGTACTTCCATATCCATACAAACAATATAATTCAATACAGTAGTTCACGGGGGAAAAAAGTAGTGTCCTAGGGCAGAGGATGTATCAGTTTTTTCTTTACATGGGAATGAGACAGGCAAACTAATTGTAAAATAAGTAGTTTCTCCTTCAGAAATATTGGTAAAGGATATAGGTAGAAGCGAACATAATATGAGTACTGTTGACTTTGCTTTAAAACCACCAGTGGTCTTATACAGCACACACTCCTACGCTTCTGTGAAGTGTTTTTGTGCTTGGAGGTATTTCTGTGGATAGATGTATCAACTGAATAAATTATTACATAAGTTAATCCAAAAAGAATTGTTTTTTATAAAAAGCAAAAACTATGTATTGATGATCGCATTTTATTTTGAAAGAAAATATATTATTTTAGCTTCAAACTATCTTCCTGATTCAGAAATTTAATTGGAGTTTATTTTTATTTATTTTGAAAGAGAGAGAGAGATAGAGAGGCAGAGAGAGAGGGAGACAGAATCCCAAGCAAGGATGTGGAACTCGAACTCAGGAGCCCTGAGATCATGACCTCAGCAGAAGTCAGGAGTTGAATGCTCAACCAGCTGAGCCACCCAGGCACCCCCCTATCAGAGACATTTTAATTTGCATCATTACTCTTTATTATCCATGGGAGGAAGTTAATGCCAGGTATCACTTATTTTATATAAAAAATGAAAATAAGGCAAATGCATTGCCTTCTTAAAATTATATCCCAAATAAAGACAAACTAGGAATGGTCTCCATCTTACAAAACTGAAATTAGTTTTACGTAAATATGGAGCAATGGCAATAACAGAAATATGCAATGATTTAGGTAAGATCTATCCAACTTGCTAAAGGAGACATATCTAGAATAGATATGTCAATAATTATTTCCGTAATTCCACTGCTCTCATAGTGCTTTTCCATATACTAAGTTTTTTGTGTAAGTGTGAAAATACACATTTTATATTTATGCTGATACCAAGTTATATATCAGTTATCCTATTTTCTCTTTAAGTGTGTGGTGATTCTGAAGGTTATGTGTTTTAGGATCACAAAACCCAGCACATGTAAAATTCTCACTTCCTTATGACTTGAGCCTATTATATTTTCTTTTTTTTGCTTTCCTTCCTTGGGTAGTGCCTATGATCAGAAGCCACAAGTGGGAATGAGGCCCTCCAACCCCCCAACTCCATCCAGCACCCCAGTGTCCCCACTACATCATGCATCTCCAAGCTCCACTCACACTCCAAAACCAGACCGCGCCTTCCCAGCTCACCTCCCTCCATCGCAGACCATACAAGACAGCAGCTATCCCATGGACCACAGGTAAACTGCAAATACTATATATATATATATATATATATATATATATATACACTATATATATAGTATATTTTTTAATGTTTTGAACATCTTGAAGGCAGTTTCTGTGACCAATTCCTAAGACCTATGGTAGATTTAAGGTGAGCATACTAATTTTGCACATCTTTGCAGAATATTTTTAGAAAGAGCTTGCTCTATCTATAGTTATAAATAATTTGTGGAGAAGGTCATTTATAAACATTCCTTTTATAAACATTTAAATTGGTTGCTAAAGTGGAAAATTAATCTATATACTGACATTTGAACATTTCCCTTTTGCTTTGCCTGAATTAAATTGCCTCACTTAAACTTTAAATCAGATCATCCCATTTTTATGAGCATATGTGTGTACTTGTTCTATAAAGTTAGGAGACTAATTTTAGTAGGTGGCTTATGGAATTAGGTTCTTTACCTTAGATTGAATGGTTTAACTGTACATAGTTTTGCAGAATAGAACTTATTTGATTAAAAGTATTTTCCATCCTTTCCAAGTGATGAATATTTAATGTCAGTAGATGCGTGACCCTGGACTCTGAGACTACAAAGTAAAGAGATAAAGACTGAATTATTATTTCTTAGAAAGAAGGAAGACAAGACCTAGAGCATGGAGCTAATGAGGATGCTCTGGTGGTTAATTCTGGACTCCTTGAGATAATTCATATTTATAAAACAAAAGAGCCCCTTCGCACAATACAGCTTAAAACACACGCTGATAGTATATAGCATCTATCGTTTCCTTTCTACCTTGTGATTATAGACAGCCAGTGGCAGGCAGGGAAATGTTTAACAGGCTTAATGGGAGAAAAGCCAGAAGGCCTCGTCTATAGCATATGATGAATCTGTGATATAAGTATTGCAACTCTGAGCCATCATTGTGACAGTTCTGAACACAGAGTCGGAAACACACGTGTAGTAGCACACCTTTACATAGCATCTCTACCACACAGATCTAGGAGACGTTAACTTCCAGAACATAGTTAGTAGCAAGACGTAGGAAAATAATTAGCAGAGGATGAACTTTGAATACTTCTTGCCTTTGTTTTTAATATATTTTTTAAAAAGTTATAAATTTATATCATTTACAGGAATTAGCCTGTGTTTAATAATCGGCTCACAGTATTTCTGAAAATTTAACAATAAGCCAGTGCAAACTGGCTCTGACACACCGTTATAAAAATAACTCAGCTGAAGGAATCCTCTAGATCAGCAGAGGAAACCAGAAGATGTGTCCCTGGCAACTTTCTGAGAAGAAGGGAATACTCAGATCAGCTTTTATATAGGTTACTTAATGTGACTCAGTCTCAATTTCACTTAAATCTTTTTTGGGATGATGGATAAGATAAAAGCATTCTTTACAATGTGAAATGAAGCTGTATTTTTTCTACCTTTGTTTCCATCGCTAAGTGTTCTTGTGCTCCAGTTATGAAATGCTTCCTATGATCTTTCCCTTCTCACTCTGTAGACTCGAGACCTTGTCAGAGCATAATGGTATGTGCATCTGTGTAAACAGTTTTGTAAATACAGATGAAAGAAATCTTATTGCAGGGTGGGCCATTGAACAGATGCACATTGTGCAGGACTGAAAGGGAGAAAGAGTACAAACAAGAAAAGCAAGTTTTATTTTGTCCACTTCTGCGGACTGCCCAGAGTTCTCGACACCCGAGGATCTCATACTTCGAATGAATGCCAGCATCAGAGATGGTGTCGTTGGCTGTTTGTGCAGAGCAGTTATTTCTTAGGGAAGGTAACTGCTGAACAAGCAGGACGCCTGTGTTGAGGTGACCTAACTCGAAATGCTTTAGCCAAATCCATTTTAGTTTCTCTACTTGAAGTCAAATATCTGAGACTGAGAGCAGCCGGCCCGGAACTATAAGAGGGAAGCTCAGGGTCTTTTCCCGCTGCCCCCCCCCCACTGAGTTTTGAGGACAGTACCAGCTGGCCAATCCCAGGAAAATCTCTGGAGCCGTATGTTTCTGAGGAGGATTCTTGGAGGGTTCTAGCCAACAAATGACAGTCCCTCGGTTATAAATGGCAGATTTGCTCTGGAAACAGATCCTTTCTCCAAATAGCCCCCTCCAGGCCGGGCACCCCACTTCACTCTGGGAAGGCTCTCTGGCCAGCTGGGCTGCACCCTGCCTCCTTTCCTCAGGCTCATTCTGTTCCAAGGGCCAGCCCTTTGGCACTTGTTTCTGAACCCACTGTTTCTGAACCCACTGTGCCGGAGCCCTGTCTCTCTTTCTCTGTGTTTCCTAGCACTTATACACTGTTTTTCTGTATCCAAGAGCCATGAGCATGCTCTCCTTACCCATTAACGCTCTTCCAGAAGCTACTTGAGTCACTTTACCTTTACCATCACCTAGTGCCTCATACGAATGGCGTGAGACACTTGTGTGTTTGCTATTTACGTGGTCCTTGGCATGTACCCACTAGAATCAGGTTAAATCGTGGAAACAAATGGCTTGATTCCTTACAAAGCTTTTTAGTATAAGTGTTATTAACTTCCTTTTAAGGCTTCACATGCGAGCTGGTGTCTTATTTTAACCTCAAGTTACAATTTTCTGATTCACTCCTTGACAGTTCTTAATGATAATTTCTGTTTCTTTTTTTGGCTAATGAAATAAGCAAGAGAAGGGAAGTGAATACAGTGCCAGTCAGCCTGTTTTGCAATATCCGAGTTTCTAAGTTTATTTTCTGCAGGTGTAGGTGGAATTTCAGTGCTGTCTATGGCAGCCGGGAAACATAGAGTTAAATCACAGGAAGAGGAGAAGGAGCCTTTGTAGAAATGCTAAAGCAATCACATTGCCATTCTTTCACTTTTACCTTATTTTCCTTTAACATGACCCGAATGAAATGTTTAACTTTCCAAATTAAAGTCTCAGGAATGCTTTTAGTGTAGGGGGGGCGGTTCATGGGTTTATATTTGTGCATCGGAGTGTGGGGTAGATTATTTGTAAGCACTCTTGGGGCATTTTTGAGCAGTTTTAAATCTTTAATTAATCCACATCTTTGCGGCAGGTCAATGATTTTACGGATGAGAAATACGGAACGGAACAATGATGTAATTAGCCCATCATTACACAGCATAACCAAGAAGGAAGGAACCTTGGGGTTCACTGTCAGCTTCTAGTGAGGCCTCAGAAACTTCCTCATGACCTAACAGCACAAACTGTCCCAAATCTATGCAGCAACAAATACATCTTGTTTCCTTCTGCCTTCCGTATGCTGTACTATGTATGCTTACTTTTATCAGTCTGATATTTTGTTTGAAGCCATTGGAAGCAGATGTGTGCTGTGCTGCTGTTTGATAGGAAAGAGAGGTCTTTTAAAAACCAGCTTAGATTTTGATCTTTGTAATATTTCCCCTTTTAAGTTCTCACTAGAATACAATGTTATTTAGAACATCGTTGAAGACTTAAGAGTCCTATCTATTTGTATTTGAGAAGAGGGCCATTCTTCTTTTGCTTCCTCAGTAACTGATGGTAAGCGATGGAAAACCACAAAGTAGGTTAGTATAAACCTGGTTGATTTTTAGTAGGTTTGTTGGTTGGTTTGCTAACAGAATTAAGAGATAGGGGATGCAGTTTGGAATCAGATTCTTTGTGGTTTTCCAGGTTTGTTTTTTTTCTTGTATATAATTATATGAGACTCTCTTAATATGGAAATTTGGTAAATGATCCAGTTTGTTTAGAATTGAGCATCTTAGCAGTTAGGGTGTGTGTTTCCTCAAAATGGTATACTGCTCAAGGCACACCTTTCACCCGCTGTAGTGTTCCAAAATGGTACTACAGGGGACTAATTATCAAGGGACACAAGTCATATTATGATGTAAAAAAACATGATGCTACTGACCCAGGAAGGAGAAATCTAGTCCTTGTGAAAGAGTTCCACTTCAAGTCAGTTGGTATCAGGCTCATTAACAAAACAGTTAAAACTTGTACCAGTGTTGTAAGGAGTATTTCTATTATCCTTTTATTTAAAACATGTTCTCTTATTTCCCAGATTTCGCCGCCAGCTTTCTGAACCCTGTAATTCTTTTCCTCCTTTGCCAACAATGCCAAGGGAAGGACGTCCTATGTACCAACGGCAGATGTCTGAGCCAAACATCCCCTTCCCCCCTCAAGGCTTTAAGCAGGAATACCACGACCCAGTGTATGAACACAACACCATGGTTGGTGGTGCAGCCAGCCAAAGCTTCCCTCCTCTGATGATTAAACAAGAACCCAGAGACTTTGCATATGATTCAGGTAGGCCCATGCTTTAAGTTACCTTTAAAACATCTTTTACTTGCTTGTCACTTTGGTTAGTGTTGGCTTCTGCTTGGGTCTCTCATGACCATTTGGTATGGAATCCTTCTGATTTTGTCCCCTCTGAGTCTTTCTCTCTTTGTGAAGTTGGACTGTCAAGCCATTTTGGCTTGAGCTCATGGTTGACATAGTGTCTAGAAATGAAAGCAGTCCAAAGAAAAGTATAATTTGTAAAATTAGGCATACTCTCAGTCCAAAAGAGTAACATTGTCATTCTTTGGATTTGGGGCTTTCTTTCCATTTTGCTACTGTAGTGTTACTTAATAACAGTGGTTGCAGAAAGTACTATTCTTTTGTATTGACTTATTTGTTGCTTATAACTGTTTGTTTTGTCTTTTACTGGTGGCAGTATTCCAATGGTCCAGAAGTAATGATTCTTACATATTAAAAGAGGAAGTGCAAAAGTATCTGAGTTTCAAAATGGTTTAGCTTTGGTCTCACTGAGGCGGAAGGCCCCCCACAAAGTAATATATCAAGATGGAGAAAGGGGGTCTCCTGCCAGTAAGAAAATGTACACGAGTTACAGATATCACCCCAACATGTAACCTTGAGACTTAAGAAGAATTACTTAACTCCTTTTCACCTGTAAATCACAACATCAGGATGCCTGTGTTTCAGGCATCTCAGGAATTGTGAAAAAAAGTATGAAATAAAAGCTAATGCTCATGAGAAGGGCACCATGTTCCTATAAAATACTATTAATGTTCTTGTAACTGGTGAATAGATGGTTGTGGACTTGGAACGACCTGAAAACCTGAAATTTCCTCTTGATGCAAAGTTATGGATATTCTTTATGAGAGAACTATTACTTCTCTAGGAGTAACTCTGCTGAGCTTTTCTATTACTTCTACTTGAGGAAAAAAATTGTCTCTAGTTTGAGTTTTTAGCTTGCATAAAATTACCTGCTTTATTATGAACTGCTCTCGAAACTCAGCAAAGGGGAGTCTTACAATTGAGAATCTCCCTTTGGCCATCATTCTTCTGTGGGCAAGAGGTTCAAAGGATTAAGAGGAATTGCCTACTCAGAGGCTATGCCTCTACTTCTAGGAAGAGCACTAGCTGCCAAGGACATATGAATTCCTGGCCTGATTGGCCCTAAGTCCACTTCCGGAGTCTAAGCAGCTTTATCCCAAGCTCAGCTTTCTCAGGGCAGAACACGTTGCTTCCGTGTACACTCCTAGGTCCAAGGAAGCAGCTTCCGGGTAGCTCTTGGGGTCAGACTGAGGATGGAGCTTGGATGTGCCTGTGTGTTTGTATATGAGGCCCTCATGGTATACATGATATATGGGACAGGGTAGGGTGAAGGGAAGGGAAAAGAGGGAGGAAGGGGGGTGAGCTAGGGTCTGAAGAGTAGAAGCTAGCTCCATGCCATCCTATGCCAGTGCTCATCTTAGAGAGTTCGCCAAATTCTGGATTTGACTTGGCCTTCCAGTTGTTATCTATGATATAGTTCATTCATTTCAAGGAATTGGAGGAGAAAACATACTTATCATCTGCTTGTTAGTTGGTTTACAATCTTAAAAATTTAAACCTCTGACGTGAGGGCTTTTATTTGAATGCTTGCCTCTCAGGCCCTGTCATTTACAGACTACAGATACCTGAAATGCATCATTAGGATTTCAGTTTAGAATTTTTTATATTTGTCCATAGTTTATGTCCATAGTTAAGAATCCTATAATGATTTATTATAGATAGAATTTATTTTTCTCTGCAAAGTTCAAGTCCTTTTAACAGATATTTTCTTTATTTCCCAAACTATATTTTGATTTGCTACAGTTTTTTGAAGTCACCATGATTTTAAGGGATTTTACATGGAAAGCATAAAATAGCCCAAATAAGTTGTTCAAAAGGACTTTTAGAGCATAGCATTTAGAAAGTATCTCTGTGTGTTCTAGAAATGTTTTTGTATGTATAATTCATAGCAAGATTGATATTGAAACTGTTTTTGGGGGGCACCTGGGTGGCTCAGTCAGTTAAGCATCCAACTTTGGCTAAGGCCATGAATTCGTGGTTTGTGAATTCGAACCCCACATCAGGCTGTCTCTTGACAGTTCAGCCTGGAGCCTGCTTCAGATTCTGTGTCTCCCTCTCGCTTTGCCTCTCTCCCACTCATGCTCTTTCTCTCTCTCAAAAATAAATAAACATTCAGAAAATTATGAAACCTTTATTTTTGATTCTGTAGTTAGCTCCGTATATGTATTTTTTCTTCATATTAATGTGATAGGTTAAATTATGTATCACATAGTGTTGAATGTGTGTAACTTTTTTTTTGAGGAAATGTGAACCAAACAAGAAAGTGATTTAAATAATTCAGTGAAGTAAAAATAAAGAAAGAAAAATAAACGGGTTGTATAGGATTTGATTGCATTATTTGTGGGCCATACATAGTATGAACTTCAGAGTCAGTCACTGTCTGACCCTCAAAGCACAGATACAGACTGAAAAGCATAGTCCATGTCTTAACTCAGGCTGCTCTGATAAAAGTACCATTGACTGGGAAGCTTAAACAGCACACATTTCTCACAGTCCTGCAGGCTGGGAAGGTCCAAGATCAAGGTGCCCACAGATTTAGTTCCTGGGAAGGGCCCTCTCCCTGGCTTGCAGATGGACACTTTCTCACTGGTTCCTTAGGTAGCAGAGTGAGAGAGTAAGGGAGTTCTGACCCCTCTTCCTCTTCTTATAAGGGCACTGATTCCATCATGGGGGTCTTGCCCTAATAACTGAATCCAATCCTAATTATCTCTCAAAGGCCCCATCTCCAAAAATACTCACAGTGGGCATTAGGGCGTCTACAGTGAATTGTGGAGGACATAATCATTCAGTCATAGTCCAGTATCAAATTTAAATTGTTTTAATGTTTATTTATTTTTTTGAGAGAGAGACAGAGTATGAATGGGGGAAGGACACAGAGAGAGAGGGAGACACAGAATCCGAAGCAGGCTCCAGGCTCTGAGCTGTCTGCACAAAGCCCAACGCGGGGCTCGAACTCAGGAACAGTTAGATCCTGACCTGAGCCAAAGTCGGATTCTTAACTACGTGAGCCACTCATGTGCTCTATCCAATTTTAAAGGTATATGGGGCATGTCTTTTGTGAGGTGTTCATTATTCCTTGCAAATGACTTGTAGAACACTTGTTTAATATTTGAGAAACCGTTTGTTTGTATTCCTTCCTACCCTCCAAACTCTCTGGCAGATTGCTAAAATTGTAGAGCACCTCTGAATGCTAATATCAGTGTTGCCAATAGGATACATTCTGTTTTGCTTGAATAATTAAGTTGTAAAGTTGGAGCTTCTGGTTGTGGTCTAAAAGATTGTTAGTAACAGTGTGTAACCAGGGCCTGTGAAAAATTAATATGCAAGTATCAAAATGTGTTTCCCTAGCCACCAACTGGGATCCAGTTGACACATCTGTCTATGTCATACATTGCAGTCCAAAAATATGATCTCCAGATATTTTGTTTCATTGTCATTACTTCTTTCATCCTTGCTGAGAGTGCATTAAATAATCTTTTTAGGAAATCTAATGTATTTATCACTGGATCATTGATTTCTTGGTTCACTTACTGATGTTGAACAAATAGGACATTAGGAAATAGTTGATGTGATTTAAAAATAATGCAAAAATGTTTCATAGTTTACTTAGCGTCTATGATCCAAAGGTTTTCCTTTCAGAAGGCCTCCAGAACTCTTTATTGCTTAATTCAATATAACATAAATGTTGTGAAAATAAAAGAAGCTTTGTAAGTGAAAAGGCAGCATGATTATGCTCTAATAAAGCCTGACATTAATTATGACATGGGAAATGGAAGGTCTATTAGTTATAATTATAATTACAGGAATGCAATTTCAGCTACAGAGTATTCAAGCTAAAAAATGCAAAATATTATGTTAGTTGAGTAGAAATTTTTATTCAAGAGAAGGGAAGAAAACCTGGATCAGAAGACCCTGAGAAGATGAAAAGAAATGGTATTTAGGGCCAATTTGGTGAACCAGTGTGTGTGATCATCATTATATTACGATATTGAAGTTCTAAACAATTACATTTGTCGTTGTTTTGTTTTTTTTTTCTTTTCCTCTTCTTCTGGAGCCTAATAGTGCTACACAAAGTAGTACACAGGTTTTTTGTTGGTTGTTTGATTTCTCCTGAATCCAATGTGGTTTTCCGTTTTTAGCTTAATGGCCAAATGACTACATGAAATGGGTTGAATATGCATTGAGTGCTTCAGTGGAAGTGCCGTATGCAGTGCCCCATTTTCATAGAATCGTAGTCACTTTCCTATTTTCATGCCTGCATATGAGGTTTCACTGATTTCACAGTGCTGAACGAGGCAAATATTTTATATATTCATAGCAGCATAATTTATTGTAGTTGTTTGTGTTCATTGATTGGTTGGTCTTTTGTTTCTCTTTTTCTTTCTTTTTGATAGATTTTAGGGGTAGTATTTTTAGGGGGGTGGTAATTACATGAAACTGAAGTTTGGCTCAAGAAAACATCAGCACACAGTGTTCATACACTGTGATCAGATCATTTCATTCTGGAAATTATGTTAAGTAATGAAAGACACAGTGAATGAGTGAGAGGGAGAAATCTTAAAAGTATATAGTAGTTGTATGGTAGAGTAAGTTATAGCTATCCATAACAGAAATGTCAAGCAACCATTTGAAATCAGGTTTTTAAAAAAAATTTAATTAAATGAGACTTGAGTAAAAAAAAAAAGTATTTTAGATACACCAAATGACTCATGCAAAATAAGACTCAATACAGACATACTGTGGCTTAAAATTTTTTTGTTGTTTATGTATTTGAGAGAGACAGAGATAGTGTGAATGGAGTAGGGGCAGAGAGATGGAGAGACAGAGAATCCCAGTCAGGCTCCTTGCTGCCAGCTTGGAGCTGGGCATGAGGCTTGAACTCATGTAACTTTGAGATCATGACCTGA